TAACCAAGCCGGCACTTAAGCAGAGGCTCCAAAGACTTTGGTCTTACCTTTGGCAAACGGCCATGAATCCTCCTACTACTTCTTCGGAGGCTGCTAGATCTCCTGCCCTCTCAGCCGATAGACTTCCAACAGGCCAGTCTACCTCTGACTCTACGTCTGTGCTACCAGCTAAGGACACTGTTGAGAAAGCAAAGTCGTCTGGTAAGCACAAATTGCCCTCTTCGCAAAGATCTCGAGCACACGACCCAGGCCCCAAGAAAAAACCTAAGCCTGCTCCTAAGAAGCCCAGGAAGGACAGACTTCCCCGCGTGGAGCCTCCTCAGCTTTCCCTACCCTCCCCTGTCCTCGAGGAATCATCCAGAGAGGCCCCTGAGTTAGCCTTGGACGGAGAGGATGTCCATGATGCAGCAGGGCCCCCCCCACAATGCCGCTTCAAACTCCGAGCATTGGCCTCATTGGGGCTGCGCCACAGTCCAGCCTGGCCTCAGCCCATTCCAAGCCTGACTCAGGGCGGGCAGCTGAAAGCTCGGCATCCAATCTGGAGGTTCCCCCTTCTCCTCCACAGAAGAGAACGGAAAAACGAAAGCACCTCTCTCCACCGAGATCTGTGGCATCACAAGGCGATTTCTGCCCCTTCCCCATGGAACTGTATCAGTGTTTTGACCCCTACATCTGGCAAACCCTGTATGAAAGGTACCAGTCTGAACAGGCTAAACAGCCCCGAACGACGCCGGACCTCTCCCAGGCTGCCCCTTTTATGGACTGGAACCGCCTCTGTGCGTCCACTTCTGCCCCGGCAGTCTCAGCTCCATCTGCATGCCTTTCTGCCCCATCTAAGTTCACCTCACTACCTCAAAAGCAAGACAAAGCTCGCAAGGCTCTACCGCCACGTCCCACACCTCCGATGCCGGACCCGATGTCACCTCAAGACCCTTTCAAGGTCATGCCGACTCAACGACACCTAGCCCCCATGACAGAGGGTTTTGGTCAGTCAGACTACCCTTCGTCTCCAGGCTCTCCTGAATCTTCGGAGGCACAACACTCTCAGTCCTCCCATGAACCCGAGCTA